CCCCCACCCAAGCGGGCTTAGGAAAGGGCCCATGGGAGGGGGAACACGATGCGCGAAGAGCGTACCGAGCCAGGGATCGAGGCCAGGAGATGACCATCTCGCCAAAGCAGCCAAACAGCAGGAGGACAGCGGCGACGGCCAGGGAGCAGGAGATGGGCACCAGCGCCAGGGCCAGAGCCCAGCCCCGGCGCTCGAGGGCCATTTGCACCGGATGGAAGGCCAACTGCGGGGTCGGCAGGGCATAGATGACCGACGTGTCACCGGAGCCCAGGGCCACTGGCTGGTAAACCGGCACCCGGGAGGAGGTCCCCAGGTGCGGCATCGGGGTGTCGACCGAGATCTGGAGCCGGGCCGGGGTCGTCACATAGCAGGAGGGCAGATCGGTCGAGTAGTCGCCATACAGGACGAAGACATAGGTGGTGCTCTTTTGGGCGGGGTTCATTTTGAGGATGCCCGAAAGGTCGGCCACCGGAAGCCGGTGGATTTGCCCCCAGACGTCCGAGTCAACCCACTGCATGAACCGGGACTCCGAGTCGAAGACCAGCAGCGTGAGCTTGCAGGATGCCGCAACCGGGTTGTGGTCCACGATGACGGTCACTTCGGCGCCGACTTCCAGCTGCACGAACATCGCATGGAAGTGGTTGGGCTCGGGGAAGGTGGTCTTCGTTGCCAGCTCCTGGCCGCGACGAGACACCGAGGGCTGGATCTCGGGGAAGGAGTAAATCTCCGACAGGGGGTTGACATCAATCGGGTGCACGGGCAGGATGGAGCGGAAAAAGAAGCCCGATGTGACCACCGGCGAGGCGGCCCCGGGGACGATGTCGCCTTGGATTTTCGTCTCAACGGGGACAACCATGATGAGAAGGCTCATGCAGCTGAAGAGGATCAGCAGGCCCCAAACGATGGAGGCCCATCGCTGGGGCTGCTGATGGAAGTAATCGGATCTTGGGCAGGAGGGGGGGGGGGGGGGTGAGCTTTGGGGGGGGGGTGGAGGAATTCCCGGGGGTGTGGTGGGACGCGCACTTTTTGTTCCAGCGCAGGCAGCAAATGAAGTAGGAGAAGAATTGTCTCCAGTCTTCGCGCGTGGCATTGCAACTTTCCGCCCCACCGCGATGTCTGTGAATGTGCACGCCAGATGAGCTGGATGAGCTGAAGGAGCTGGATCTTTCGCCACTTATCATGGCTCCCAGGGAGGAGGGCGAGGAGGAGGAGGAGGAGGAGGGCGGGGCAGGAGGAGGAGGAGGAGGAGGGAAAGACAGGAGATCTCGGTGGTCGCCGATGCCACCACCGCCGTCGAGGCCGGCATCCTCT